CTCTCCCTCCCTCTCCCTCCCTCTCCCTCCCTCTCCTTCCCTCCCTTCTCTCCTCTCTCTCCCATTCCTTCTTCTCTCCCTTCGTCATGTGCAGCTTTATTGCTATGCCCCCATCTTTTGTGGGAAGAAACATTGCTATGTGTCCATCTATTGTGGGGAGAAACATGGTGTTCGGCCTGAACTGGTGGATGCGGTTTATCATTTTTTTAACATTTTTTTAGCACATTTGTGTTCCAAATATACACACGTATTCCTCTATGCATGTATGCAAGTGCGTTTTGGTACGTACTCGGGAGTATGGGGCCACGTTCTTGTCATCTCACCAAGTACACAGGATATGGGGTCATGAGGAAATCTGCAGCGTGGTTGACCGTGTTTCGCATGCATGAGGAAATCATGTACAAACTTCAAAGGTGTTCCTATCCACATAATTATAATTATACCACTTAACCCTTTTATTGACCGTGGTTGATCAGGCTGGTGCACGTGCCACGTGGCCTTATCAACTCTTATGAATTCCACAGTGTTTTCCTGTATGATTGCCCGAGGCTAACACCGCTGTGCAGATCCAGCTGCAAAAATGAACTTCAAAATGAAAACTGAAAGAAAGATAATACTCACATGTGCATTTTGAGGGGTGGAGTACACGTATGCGAGTACATATGCGTACTCAGGGGGTATGCGTACATGATAACACGCATGTGATTCATACAAAATAGATAGGATCTCGATCTTGAGATAATTGACAGTCCTCCCTCCCTCTAGCTTGCATTTGTCTTACTCACCTTTCAGGCGGCCCGCCATTAACTCTTACTGCCACTCTGTCGTGCCATGCTCTTTCGCTGTCATTTATGGGTACAATCTTTTCCGCAACTGCAAATTTCTCATCCTCCACCCACCACCGTGGCCGTTGCAGAAGATTTTGCAGGAAAAAAAAACTCTCGGCTTGGCTGTCTTTTACGTGCAGCAAATCACAGCTTGCAACAGCCGTGGACCGATCTGCTATGGCCAAAAGTGGCTGTTGATGAACTATAGCTACAAGTGCAAGGACCGCGCCTATGCCATATTGGCTGGCGTCTGTGGTCACGACAAACGGTTTATCAGGATCAGGAAGTTTAAGAACCTCATAGTGTGTCAGGGCATACTTTAATTTCCTGAAGGCTGCCTCACACTCTTCAGTCCACTCCCAAGGGGTGTTTAGTCGAGTAAGATCTGTCAATGGGGAAGCTATAGTACTATAGTTCTTCACAAACGGACGATAGTAGCCCGTCATCCCCCAAAACGATCTGACCTCAGTAACAGTCTGAGGTTTGGGCCAGTCACGTATGCTGGCCACCTTAGCATCATCCGGCCTCAATCCATCTGCTGAGATTTCATGACCCAAGTATGGTGCGACCAAACTCGCATTTCTCCAAGTTAACCTTGTACTGGTGTTGTCTTAGGAGACCTAGCACTGTTTTCAAGTGCTCAGCGTGTTCCTCTACAGTCCTACTAAAGATGAGAATATCGTCGAGGTACACGACGATAAACTTGTCCAAGTAGTCATGAAAAATCCTGTTCATCGCGTGCTGGAACGTACCAGGTGCATTGCATAGTCCAAAGGGCATCACCACAAACTCGTACAGACCGTACCTGGTCTGAAATGCGGTTTAGTGCTGATCCTCAGGCCTAATGGCAATTTGATGGTATCCGGACTTCAGATCTATCTTGGTGAAGTATCGGCATCCCTGCACTCTATCCAAGAGGTCGTCAATGCGGGGTAGGGGCTCCGCGTTCTTAACGGTGATGGCATTGAGGCCCGTATAGTCAATGCACATCCTCAAGGTACCTCCCTTCTTCGGTACGAATAGGACTGGAGCGTCGTAAGGGGAGGTATTAGGCCGAATCCATCCCTTCTCTGTGAGCTCCTTGAGCTGGCAGCAAAGCTCATCTAACTCCGCAGGAGACATCCTATAGATTCGTCCTCTAGGCACCTTGCTACCTGGGACAACCTCTATTGCATGGACAACCTCCCTTTCCACCACGCCTGTGGGCTCCTCAAAAAGGTCTGAATATTGTGCGACGACTGATTCTATCTCTGGGGGTGTTTTAACGGCCTCCCCTTTCTCAGAGACAAATACTAAATACATGCCCTCCTCGCGATTCTGCTTGTAATAGTTATAGAAGGATGATGCACACATGCACCCGTAGTTTTCTATTAGACTGCTAGCTTTGAACTTTTGCAATCTAACAGATCTACCGTTTGTGAATCAATACCTTTCTATCCCAGTCAAACTGCGGTTGCGCGACCTCGAGGTAGTACATACCTAGGAGCATATCAAAGGGCAGTTCGTCGCTAACCAGGAAGGAGATTTTATGGCTCACTTCCCCTCCTTCATAGGAGAAGGTACAGACTACGTCCTTGACATAGTCTTTTACCAACATTTGGTGCTTGTTGGCCAGCGTAGAAGCTACAGTTCTGCTAAGCCGCTGCACTTGGTCCCCTAAGCGCAGTCTATCCACACAAGCACGACTGATGAAATTTCGCGTAGAGCCTATGTTTGCGAAGGCACCCACTTTTCGGCCACCTACATCAACTTCTACCACGAAATGTTCACCCTTTGGACCTCTACTTATCATCGCCCAAGAGTCCCTGGGGTCCTTCCCTGACCACTCAGTCTCTAACTCCTCTAGGGCCTCAGACACATCTCTCGAACAGAGCGTCGGTGGGTCCGAATGTGTCTGCGGGGCGATACGTGGGTCTCTAGCCTTGGCCAACGCCTGAAGTGGGGAAGGCAACGTTACCACTTCAGCGCGAGTAAGAGTGGCTAATACCCCTACTGGCCCAAGGTGTTTCCCTGCGAAGTGCTCGCAGAAGCACCGCCAGAGTTTGAAGAAAGTCCCACCACCGTTGGTGAGGCTACCCTCGTCAAAACTTTCTTGCCTCGGCACGTTCGAGACGTGTGGCCATAGTTGCCACAGTTCATGCACGTGCCCCTAGCAACTCGGTCCCTCCACACCGCATACTTTAAACCAAGTTTTACCCATGCGGGTGTTCCTTGGTCGCCCTGACCCGTGGACCGTACTACCTTCTTCTTCCCGGTCCCCCTAGCCTTTTCCTTGATGGGTGCCATGACTCCCCCATCCGAAGTCTCACTAGCCCCATCTTGCTCTGTCACCTCCCCAATGTTTGGTAAATCGTCAATCTCCGTCGTTTGACCATCATGGTCAACGAACATCAACTGACCCTTCTTCTTCCAGTCCTGGGGAAGTCTCTTCCTACCATCATGAGATGCCTGATGCGCGGATCCCAGCTTTGCCTCTATGTCCAAAGCTTTCTTACTAAAAGTAGCGAAGTTGTGTTGTTCGACATAGGCCTCATCGACCAGCCTGGTCCTTACCTCTGTAGGTAGGCACCTTAGGTAATCCGTCAGGAGAACCTGCTGGTCAAAACGCACACCAGGTACCACGAGTAAACGTTCTACGGTGTCTGTTAGCTCTCTAATTTTCTTGAACCTGTGGGAATAAAGATTGTTGATAGCATCGGTGGCCTTATGAGCCCCTTGCGGGTCATGCCACCTATTATACACGGACCGTACGAACTCTTCCAATGTCTGGGTCTGTGCCCAAGTATCGAAGTTTTGACTGTAGCCCTGCTACTGCACTAAGCCATTCAACCAGCGAGCTGCTGACCCTTCTAAAAAGGAGGCAGCCACTACAACTTCATGCTCTGGCCTGGTGAGCTTGTGCCTCACATAAGTAGGCACAGTCCTCACCCAGGTGTCTAAGTCCTCATCCTTCTTCCTATCACCAGAGAAGGGCTTGAGACTCATCAAAGGTATCTTAGGCATCCACTGCATAGGCTGCATGGGCCCAGGGGCTTGCTGCAGCGGCTGCATAGCCACTGAAACAGGCTGTTGCACACTAACCTGGGCCTGGCTTGACAGTGGGACTGTAGTAACCACTGTCGTAGATGGTACGACTGAGACTCTATGAACCAGACCACTAGTTGCTACTAAACCACCTAGAGGGGGTATGCCAAACATAGGAGAGAAAGTTGGCCCTGTGTGTTGCGGCATCGATGAAGGACCCGCACCTGCAGGGGGAACTACAACAAACTGCGGCTGCCTCTTCCTAATTTGTTGTAAACCCAATGGTTGCCAAGGTTTGTCAATGCCTAGGATGAGATCAACTATCCATTTTAACGACAAAGCTTGGCATTGTAGGGCAAAGAAAGGAGACGCTATCCAGGACCTTTGTCTGGATGACCTATGGGTATCGCTTTTGCGGTCATGGCGAAGGTTACCCTTACCAAATAAAACTAGGCCAACACGCTATGAGGAAATCCTTCGGCAACCTTTGTTTGGAAATAGATGGACTACGGATGAAAATGGATGTATATATAATAACTCTAGCTCCCCCTGGTCTCAGTGGGTGAAAAAAGGGGTGATTCGTATCAAAGATATCTCGGATCCAGTTAAAAAAGGGTGGAAGACTTTTGAGATACTAAAAAAAGGATTACTTACGCTCATAAATTGGAGCAGAGGTTAGAACGTATAATCGATTCTGTGGGTAAGGGAATTGAAAAGAGGAGTAAGATTTCAGGAGGGTGACTTCGTGACAATCACACATGACCCACAGGATTGGCAGTCTGGGCAAATAATAACCTTATTGAAAGAAGGGGCCCTAGTGGCCAAATTCAAATTAACGTCAACTCACCTGCTAAGCCCTAACTCTGAGAACCAAGTGGATTTTGTACCTTTTCAGAAAATATTTATCTCAGCAATGTCCGGGTGGCGGATCTTTCATCCATCTACTCCTATTCCAGACCTTCCTTTGGATC